GATCTAATAAGCGCGATGGTCGGTCTATGGAAACAAAGCGCAGGGTGGCAGAGTCCCCTTGTTAATGACCCTCCGAAGGGTTCAAAGCACTCGGGAGTCGTCTGTCTGTCTGCCTGCCTGAGCGAGAGGTTTAACTGGACATTTCCCTCATTTACGCCGAAGCTTTGTGCATGCTCAGTCCTGTCCTGTTGTGCTTTATCTTTGTTGTCTGCCTTAACGCAGCTCTCTCCCGTCTTCCTGCTCTCTCCCTGCTCACTCCCGCTCACGGCTCACTGCTCGCTGCTCTCTGCTCTCTGTCTGCTGTCTTTCCGAGTCTGCTTCTGTCTCCCTCTCTCTCTATGGCTGCTGTGCATTTAATTCGTTTTATCTGCTGGCGCCGCGTTCGAGCGAGCTCTCATTATGAATATTATCGCCTGACGGCAGGCTGTTCGTTTGCAAGGTATGTAAGTGGTAGGGCAAGGCCGAAGCTCTTACTGTTTCCCTGGAGAAGGGCAATGCCTTACCCTCTGCCCAACCGTGACAGACAAGCGGGCAGAGAGCAGGAGAGTTACAGTTGCACACGGCTCATCTCTTTGCTTTGCATCTCTTCCTTTTTAATCTGTTTATCGACTGTCGGCTAATGAGATTCTCTTCGGCGAAGAGAGTGCATCAGTGCACCAGTGCACCTCCACGGCTGATTATCTGCTAATTACATCGAATGCGCACATGGCAATCCGAGCAGAAGAGTCATGCGGGGTCGAGTGTTGCACACAAAGCAAATTCGGGTTCATTACCACCGCCCCCGTCGACTGACCCTGGATGGGCAGATCAGAGGGGAGGGAGGGAGGTAGCACCCCTCAATCACACCACATTCCGCAATACACGAATAAACAATTTGAAAAGCTGACATAATGCCCGCATTAAGTGGCAAAACCGACGGCGAAAAATGGCAAATATTTGTTGCGGAAAGTACAATATGGAAAAGAGGGAACAGAATCTCTGGACGCGGAAAGAGGAAAGCAGAAAACAGAAGAAGCGACCCGCAATAAGCCGCGGAGGAGGAAGAGAAGCCCCGAAAGCGGGAATGAAAAAAGCTGTTCTATATTTGGCAGACGGCATGCGTGGGCGTGGGCGTGAGCGTGGGCGTGGGCGTGGCTGATACGACAAACACAGAAATTGTGCTCTGAATGAAAATACTGCACATTTTTATCGTTCGCAATGTTGATTCAGTTGGGATAGTCCCCCCCCCCCCCCCCCCCCACCACCGTGGGGGATATATATCCTCCAAACACTCACGTATATCCTGCCTCTGACGGGGTGTATCCAATGTGGCATCGATTGGGGGCCATTTTGATTGATTGATTGTCTCATATTTTTTGGTCATCCCGTTAGCCCCGTTAGCCTTTCGTCTCGCCAGCCACAAATTCGTTCGATTGCGCTGGCCACACAGTGCCAGCATTGTCTTGGCAATGACCCAGACCCCCACCAATTGTTTGGAGGGGCGCCAGCGCCAACGCCTCACTTGTGCTTCTCTTTTTTTCTGGTTTTGCGTGAAAATTGCCGGTAAATTGCGAGCTCATCGATAAACTCGAGTGGATAATATGAGTTATCGCGGCTGCCGGAGAGACTCTCGAGTGGCATGCCTCTGCCCCTGGCCCGCTCCAGTGTCGAGTGCTCCTCCATTCCTCCAGTGGAAATTCAATTTCAATTGAAAGAGAACCTAAAAGCGAACTGCATTTAAATGGGCTGTAAATTGAATCAAAAATTCCCGCAGGGGGGCTGCTGTCAGCTATACCTTCCACCACCCCCATCCCAATTCGAATAAAATCATAAACAATTTGCATCCATTGAAAAATAAACGAAAGCGGCTCTGGAAAACGTACAAGGACAGGATACGTGGACACCGCGACGTGGCCGAGGACGTGGACGTTTGCGATTTAAGCTCATTTCATGTGACGTGCAAAATGGATTTCCAGCGGAATCCCTGAAACTGAATTAAGTCCCCCACGTGAAGGACACCACCTAGAAGGTTTTCCAGGGCTGACAAAGAGAGGGAGGGAGCGTAGGGTATGCCCTCGTCTAGACCTCACCATATCCCCACCACGCCGTGCAATTAGCAAACAATCCGGGAATGAAAATTTGTGCTTAACGCGTAAAATGCATTATGTAAAATAATGTAAAAGAGCTCCTCCCCCCCACCTCCTTTGGGGCCGCAGGATGGCTTGCTTATTCATGCGTACACTCGTATGTGCATATGTCGGAAATTGTAACGATTACACGCCGGACGCACACAGACACACAAACAGGAAACGGCGTAACCAACCATTCATCCATCCACTCCTCTCCCTTGTAGCCAGAGAAGGGTGGAGGGGGGGTGGCGATCATCAGCTATTGATTGGTTCGGTCTCGGTCTCGGGCTGCTTTACCGCAGCGGGGTGGGGCAGGGCGAAGGGGTGGTTGGGGCATCGTATGTTTTTCCTTTGTCCTGGCTGGCCGGAGGCTGAAGCTGGAGCATTTTTCATTCATAATTACACGCTGAAGGGCCGGGCATAAATGGCTTTTTAATATATCCCTGCTTAATGGCCTTTGGACAATGATTTAATACATTTTTAATTAAACTAAATATGCAGAGCGACGGAAGGCAGGAATCAATCGCAGTCGCTCCTCCAGAGGCGGAGGGCAGAGCGACAAGCAGTCTTGTAATTGAACCCCAAATAAGTCGTTAAAAGTTTGTTTGCCGTGACTTTTGCAGTCGGAAGTTGCACAAGCAAACACCCCACTTGCCTCCCCACAACTGCCTCCCACTGGGGGTGGCACGTAAAACTAATGGTTGGGGGGGAATGGGGGAAGACGTTGGGTTGACGTTGGCGCAGCTCATTATAAATTTGTTGATGCTGCATATCTTGGCGCGGGCGGGTGGTCTATCCTTGAAGGATAGCCGGATAGGAGCAGAGCAGGATGTGCTGCGCTCACTTCCTGACAGGCAGTGGAGCAAAAGCAGCTTCCACCGGCATCTGGCTTGGCTTCTGCATATCAGCAGCTTTTTATGCTTACCACAGCTGGGGCAGGAGTGGGAGGGGGAGTGGGAGGGAGAGGCAACACATTTCATTTTCATCTCAGCTGCCAACAGCCAGAAGCCGCAGGGAACTTGTCTAAAAATCACGCATAATTTATTTACCATAAACAAGACGAGCAGAACAGAACAAGAACAAGAACAAGAGAAACAAGAAGAAGAAGAAGAAGAACAAGAACAAGAGGAACAGGAAGAGCCGACGATGGCCGCCGCATGACAGGTCGAAGGGAGGGGCTGTGTGGCAGTGGTGGCAATGGAGGCAGCGGTGGAAGAGGGAGCCTGCTGCAAAGTATGCAATACAATTTTTGGAAGCAAGACCAGATTGCAACAACATCAAAAATGCAACAATACTAAAAGAGAGCGAGGAAGGGACGAAGGGAGGGGTGGGTAGGGGAAGAGAGACACCGAGAAGCAATCAGCGTGGCATAAAAAAAAAAAACGAGATCCTAAGCACGATTGAAGCTGCAGCGCAATAAAAATCGCTTTATCTTCATTAAGTCGAGGAAGATATCATTGCAAGTGCACCTCCCATCAACCCCCCCCCCCCCCCACACACACACACACACACACACACGGGGGGTGGGGGGGAGCACAGGACAAACAACAAGGTAGCCACAGCCAGAAGCCAGAGTCAGTGCTGAAGTCCCATCCTGGCTGGCTAGCAGCCACAGCATTGAATAATAAATGCAACGAAAATAAAAATAAGAGCTTCTGCTCCTCCTCGGCCTCCCCCTCCTGCCACAGGAGGCGGAAGCCAGCAAAGGAGTGAAGCGAAGACAGCCACGAGGGGGGAGGAAGGAGGCAGTACAGAATAAAGTACATGACGCAGGGATAAATGGTGGAATCATGTAAACGTACACCCACACACACACACACACACAGCCTCACGTCAAGGATAAACAGAGCCGGCCGGATGGCAGGTGAGGGAAGGGCTGAAAGGACGCCAGAGCCTCCGAGTGGATACATGCATTGTTGGTACAGTGTGTGTGTGTGTGTGTGTGGGTGTGGGCGAATCCTTTGCAGACCCCCAAGGCTGGTGCTGATACTCCACCCCCCACACCCGAGGACTGACGGCGCACCAGAAGGAAGCGAAGCGAAATTATTGCAACGAGCGCCGAAGTGGAAAGCCAGACAGGGACGCGGCTGCTCTTAAATGGAATCCAATGGTCACAGTGGCAGCTCCATGGCAATCGAATTCCATTTAAGATCAACGGCTGGGGCTATGGGTTGGGGATGGAGAGGATGTTCGGTTCTGGTCTGATTACGATTACAAAATGAGAACACGGCAGACACTACCAGGCCCCCCCCCCTCCCGCCAGTGCCCCAGTGGCAAAGGTCAAACAGATTGAAGCTCTCCATAATTGACTGTAATTAAAGCGCAGTTCTGTCCCCCCCCCATCCACTCATCGCCCCCTCCCCATCTCCCCATATCCTCTTCTGTGAGAAAACCCAATTTGGCTCAGTTTTCCGCTACCAAAGGAGCATTTTAATATGCTTCTCAGGTGCTGCACGCCCCCTGATGGTGCCCCATTTCATTGTTCTATGCAAATAGTACAAACGGTAGAGAGGGGAAGGGGGGCGGATTGGGCGTCGTGGTTACAATGCATTTTTATGGCGAATGCTGGCTAAAAATTTATTGAAAACGAACCAAAATATTTGCATGAATGAAGATGCACAGCGTTCGGGATGTGGGATGTGGGATGTGGGGCACCGGATGCTGCAGGATGCTGCTGGATGCTGCTGGTGCAGGTGCAGGAGTGCTGCTGTTACAAGCCAATGAACAGGGACTGCCGTCATCACTTTCATTGCCATTGTTCCATGTTCCATTTTCCTTTCCTTACGTATTCATTCATTATTCACAGCCCAATTCGTGATTCACGATTCACGATTCACGATTCCATATGCCGTCTCTCTGATCTCCGTTTTTCGCATTCTTTTGCTTTCGCAGGCGAAACGAATACAGAGCAATGAGCTGGCCGCCATCAAGGTCATCAAGCTGGAGCCCTCCGATGACATACAGATCATCCAGCAGGAGATCATAATGATGCGCGACTGCCGGCACCCGAACATCATCGCCTACTACGGGTCGTACCTGCGGCGGGACAAGCTCTGGATCTGCATGGAGTTCTGCGGCGGCGGCAGCCTGCAGGACATCTACCAGGTGACGGGACCGCTATCCGAGAACCAGATCGCCTACATGTGCCGCGAGACGCTCAAGGGCCTGGAGTACCTGCACTCCATGGGCAAGATGCACCGCGACATCAAGGGCGCCAACATCCTGCTCACGGAGTACGGGGACGTGAAGCTGGCCGACTTCGGGGTCTCGGCCCAGATAACGGCCACGATCAACAAGCGGAAGAGCTTCATAGGTGAGTGGCGCCCCCCCGACTGGGTGGAGGCATGACTGATGAGGCATCCTCTGGCATTCGATTTATGCAGATTCACAGATCGATTTCGGGGGGAAACATTTCGCGCCAAGGACATTGCCAGGCAACGAATAGTCGACGAGTTAAAGATGGACGTGTAAATGGAAATGGAAATACACAAAGTGTTTATCATTGTGGGACTCTGTGCTGCTGTGGGGCGGTGGGGGGTGGGGGGGAGTGTCCTGGCAACAATTGCGTTTAACGCTTCTCGACTCTGGACGCTCGGCAGAGAGCAGAGAGGAGGAGGAGGTGCAAGAGCTGTCAGGAATGACAGAGCACAAAACCAAACAACAAACAGCAAAAAGCAGCAGCAGGACAAAAGGATGCTTGGGGAATGCTGGGGGAATGCTGGGAGTCCGCATTCCTCTGTTGGGGAATTATTCGAATCGGCGATGCACAGTGGGGCCCCCAATTGAATGCAATTCAATTAGGAGCACGCATTATAATGGATCCCGCAGAAGGCATACCGAAGTATAATCAAAATGTTATAAAGGCGGGGAGTCCTGGGGCTTCCATGGGGGAACAATTCAATTTGCAGGACATTTCAAAACCAGACGGAGATGCAAGGTGGAGGACTCTGCCCCAATCTGCCACAAAAGTAACCATTCGACCGACCAGCAGGTGGTCCGGTCTTTGTTTGGCATCCTGCTGGAGATGGTGATGGGGATGGGGATGGGGATGGGGGTGGGGATCTGACGGAATGGTCCTTGTTGTCGACCAAAACTGAAGCACAAAAGCAAATAATCTTTGAAAAATGTCCTCAATTCGAGCATCGTTGGCCGACCATTGGTCCGTCTTAGTTTTGTGGATACTTCTTTTGTGGACGGCTCCGGCTCCGGCTCCGGCTCCGGCTCCGGCTCCGGCTGCAGTTCCTCTGCTTCCTACTCGAAGTCCTCTCCTCTGCTCTCCCCGCTTCCTAGAGGCCTCAAAGGCCACTTCAGCTGCTTATTTTTTCCTGCACTAAGAGATTTCGCCGTTCTATTTGGTTCTGTTTCTGTTTCTGTTTCTTTTCTGCTGCACTGAGCGGAGCTAAGCGGCTTTCAGAATCTCACAGAGTGGGGGGAGGAGCGGAGCTGCCTAATGGGGAGCAAGCATGTGCAGGCGGATGACAGGCGGGCGGGGTGGGGGGTGGAGTGAGTGGGGTTAATGGATGCTTTAAAATGCTTGCCAGGGGCTTTAAGACGAAACTGAGGCGAGGCCACGCTTGGCATACACAATTTGAATGTAAATAGCAGTTTATCAGAACCAGGAGGGGGGGTAGGAGGAGCCAGGAGGGGCGTAGGAGGAGCTTAGGAGGAGCCTAGGAGAAGAAGGAGTGTCTGCCACTCGCTGCGTAGTTTGTCATGACAACTTGCAATCTGTTGAAGCGCAGAAGGAGCAGCACGATGATTGGCATGAGTCGCCCCGGAGGTATGCCCCCCCCCTTTGTGCCACGTCATCGCAGGACCTTTTAAGACTTGGCAAATGGGATTCTGCGGTCTCTTCGCGTGGCCTCGCAGCTCACAATTAATTATTTCAAATGCCTTTTCTTTGCACTTAATTAAAAATCCTCGACCTGACTGGACCCAACCCAACCCAACCGGGGGACCCCCTTCGGGCAGCCTTTGACACTCTCCGGGTAATTAAGTTAAGTTACCACTGCCAGGACCTGGCTTAGAGTCCTCGAGCCAATCAAAGCCGAAGCCTGCCCGAGTTCATGACATTTTGAGTTGCGGGCGGCGTAAAACGGAATCAGATTTGATTTAATTTACGCCAAATTGGATCTATCCAACGCATAGAAGGCGCCCCACAAAGCAGTTTAACTTTTAATGCCGTCTATTGTCCTTTGTGCTTTGTCCTTTGAGCTGGCTCTCGTAAAGGACAGCCCTATAAATTTGAGCGCCAAGCGCTAATTTGATTTCTGATTTATACGAATGGACGAGGTCCACTCCACTCCACGGTGCAACGTGCAGTGGTTAAGGGGCGAGTTTAACGACCTTGAGGTCACTAGATGGGTCTCTCCCCATCTGTCTCTCAGTGCAACACTCTGTTTCTTTGTTGCCACTTTCGGGTGCATTTTCATGACGTTTCAGCGCTGAGCGAGCTTCTTTTGTGGCACATGTCAATGGGGTGGGAGGTGCCACCGAGTGTGCACTGCAGATGACAGCAGGAGAAGACGGGGAGGTGCCTCGTAGGTGCTGTCTAGGACATGTTTGTGTCTCTCCGCCTGTCTGCCTGTCTGCCTGTCAGTGTGTGCGCCAAACAATGTGACGTCCGCTTACTCTTATCACTTGGAGTGGTTACCCCCACCCCCCTATCAGTGGTGTTGCGACTGCTGTGACAAATGTGGCACTCCCCTCCCTTGCACCACACACGCTCTGCAGAGGAAGCCGCAAACAGAACCGGGGGGTCAACCCATCTGAGCGGGGGCCCTGAGCTCCTGGATTGAAAAAAATGGATATTGTGGAGCCCATTTCGGGTTGCAAGTCTCCTGGCAAAGCAGACACTACCCCGCCCGTGAAGGGTATGCCGCGAGGGGAGGGCGGGCGACAGCCTGACGCTTTTATTATTCAATAAAAAGGTGCTTACGTTTGTGTTTAGTGTCATTAACGAGTCAATGGCAACAAACGACGAGCAGCAGCAGCAGCAGCAGAAGAAGCTTCCACCTCGTTGCCTCCGAGACGCCCATTACCCCGCCCCGCCCTCGCCCTCGCCCTTTCCTCTGTGGCACAGCCACAGTTATGCCATAAAGATGAATGTGAATGTGAATGTGAATGGGAGTGTGTGGGTGTGGGTGTGGGTGGATGGGGCGTAGGCGTGGCCGTGTGTTGTCTTAATGCCTCCCAGGACGCGGGGCTGACGGAAATGCGTCTTGGCATTAAATGGGATGCAGCCTAAAAGCCTGCCAAGGCCCACATCCACATCCACATCCTCTCCTCTCCCGCCCCCTCTCTTCCGTTGGCTTTTTAACAAAATGATACTTGACTTTTCTCTTCTCGCCTCTCGTCTGTTTCAATCCCAATCCGTATCTGTATCTCCGGCTGTGTATCTGTAGCTGTTTCGACGTGTATCTGTTTGTGTTGCGCCTTTAATTAAAGTGTGCGGAACACTTGGCTGAGTCCTTCATCGATGAGCTTCCATTCCGGTTCGGTTCTCCTTTGGAGAATCCCGTCAAGAGCAGAAACAAAGCCAGGGCCCAGACCGAGACCAAAACCGCGGCTGAAACTTCCACTTGCAGCAGCCTTGGTCTCCCCCCCCCATCCCCCCATCAAGGAGCAGGCATTAAACTTGATTTTCCACCTTCGTTGTGGCTTAATTAAATTGAAAATACAATTAACTTTGAGTTCGTGTTCGAGTTGGTTCGCTTTTCCTTTCACCGTCGCCCGGGAGATGAAAATTAATTTCACAGAACTTTCGAGAAAGTGCGACAACAGATGCTCCCCCCGGTTGGGGCCATTGGCTGCAACATGGCGTATGAGTAATGGACGCAGGATCATAAAACGTGCGCCCGAAATGAGGCGCCCCATCCTGGCGTGCTCTGCATAATTCAGCAATTTGTTTATTCGCACAATTTGCACAATTGGCAGATTGCACCGTAAAAAAAAAAAAAATCAAATTAAATTCTATTATATTAAAAACAAAACGAATGCGCATGAATAAATGATATTTGCGGCACATATTCTGAGGCAATGAAATTAAATGTGTGAATGTTGCATAATTGGCAGGAATTAGCAGAATCGCCTGCCATGCCCCAACCAGTGGCAGCTGCATTGACCACCGAATCTCCTCCATTCGCAGGGACACCCTACTGGATGGCACCCGAGGTGGCCGCCGTGGAGCGCAAGGGCGGCTACAATCAACTATGTGATATTTGGGCCTGTGGCATCACGGCAATCGGTGAGTACCCCCCCCCCCCCCCCCCCCCCCCCCCCCCCCCCCCCTCCCCTCTGTCACTGACCCCCTTTAACCCACGCCGCTTTTTGCAGAGCTTGCTGAACTGCAGCCACCGATGTTCGATCTGCATCCGATGCGAGCCCTGTTCCTGATGTCGAAGAGCGGCTTCAAGCCGCCCACACTGGGCAACAAGGACAAGTGGAGTCCCACATTCCACAACTTCATCAAGACGGCGCTGACGAAGAACCCCAAGAAGCGACCCACCGCCGAGCGCCTGCTGCAGCATCCCTTCGTCCAGTGCGAGATGTCGCTGCGTGTGGCCAAGGAGCTGCTCCAGAAGTACCAGAGTCCCAATCAGCAGTTCTACTACTATCTCGACGGCGAGGAGGAGGTGAGGAGTGGCGCCTGGCCAGCCCTAGGAGGTGGAGGAGGGGAAGGAGCTGCTGGCTCTGGCTCTGGCTCTGGCTCTGGCTGTGGCACCTTTTGTGTAATTTATTTACGCTTTTAGTTCTCGCTCTCTCTCTCAGGCCTTGGTGGCTATTTACTGGGCTTCCCTGCCTTGGGCCTTGGGGCTTGCGGCTTGCGGCCTGCGTCCTTGCAGAGGCACAAGGACCAAGATTGCTTTCTGCTTTCTCAAGAACAGAGATTTAGTGCGCCATTATACACCTTGGGAGCCCCAAACTCTAGGTTTTGCCGGCCACTGCCCCAATTAATTCCCCCTGCTCCCCTCCCTGAAATGCTGATGTCTAGACAGACGGCCAGGCGAAACTTATTTAACGACAAATGCAAATGGAAAATCAAAATCAAAATCAAATTTATATTTAATGGGCATTTCCCCCCGCAGGGGGCTGGGGCTGTGGGGCTTGTCAAGTCATAAATCTTCAATTTGTTTGGATATTTTGCAAACTTTGAACGAAAGGAGGGACTCCACCCCCAAGAAGCGCGCAGTAGATATTCAAATTTTACTTAGTGCCCCCCCCCGTGCACCACGTGCCCCACATTCCTCGTGTAACTTGAAGAAAGTAACGCATGACGCTCCAAAATTCCAATCCCAATATGATTTTGATTTATGGGCTTCCATCGCAGGCTGAAACTTTGCCACTGACGATGCCTCTTTAGCTCTTTAGCTCTTTAGCTCTTTAGCGTTTTTCCCTTGTTAACCCGCATCCTAACGTGTCTCCTCCCTTAGACGGTGGCCAGTGTTCCGCAGCGGATACCCAGCAAGATGACATCACGCACCAATGGAGTTCCAGCCCAGAATCACACGCTGAAAACAGGCAAGACCCCGACGCCGAGAGGCTGCCTGGCATTTGCTAATCTCTCACCTTCCCCCCTTCCTCACCGCAGCCATGACGACAAACTCCATGTGGAACGAGCGATCCTCTAGTCCCGAGACGTTACCCAGCGACATGTAAGTCCTGCCCTAGTGCCGCGATCCTCCTCCTGTGTATCCCGCGTGTACACTCGAACATATCTCTTCTTCTGCCTGAACCTATGCCACAGTTTATGCCTTATTTCTTAAGTACTTGCGCGACAACGGGTTCACTTCGCTTCAGTTTTGGTAATTTGGTTTCAGTTCTCACACACATACACACACACACATACACATACACTATATATGTAAAGCCGGAGGCATTCGGAATCCATCCATCAGCCATGGGATCCATTGTTATCCACTTGTCTGTTTCTTCTCTTCTTTTGTAGATCAAGACCAAAATTAACGGGCACCCTGATTATGAACATGTCTTTAAGGTTAGCGAAGGCTTCCACCAGCCACCAGCCACCAGCCATCAGCAGAGCCCCAGATTGGGAGTGCCAAGGAGCCACAGAACTTGGCACTGCGCTACCCTCTGCATGTGGCATGTGGCATGTGGCATGTAGCATGTTGCATGTTGCGCTTTTTATGCACCGCCGCAGCACGCGCGTTGTGTAATTTGCCCCGGCTTACAACTTGCCACAGTCAATTTTCAGCCGCACGTATCCCCAGAGCTGTGTTTACTTTCGTATTTTGCTGCATTTTCATGTGTGTGGCAGCGGCACACGCTTGCGCTTAGTTGCAGTTACGTGCCGGAGCTCTCGCCGGGTCTGTCCGGGCAATGAAACTTGTGAATTTTTCATCCATTCCACGGAGGAGTCTGTGTCCGAGTACGAGTCCGCTTCAGAGTCCGAGCAAGTCCCCAGAGTGTGTGGCTATAATTGCGAGCTGGCTGCCTGGCTGCCTGGCTGCCTGGCTGTGTATGCCTCAAACTTGTGGGATATTTAATTGGCAGCCAGTCGGAGTAATTACTTAACCAGGACGGAGCTGGGGCGCCACTAAGTATGCTGCTCCATAACATAATAAGCAGTCCCAGCGGAGCAGGTGGAAAAAGCGAGAGAGCGGCGGACAGATGGGCCAACTGGAAACTAGAAATAAATTGAGTTCAAGGAGCAGAAACTTTTGCCAGGAAATCAATTAACGACGGAGAAGAAACGGAAGATCGAAGTATCAATCATACGCCATGTTGTGCGCCAAATCCACGAGGGCAGCTTCAATATGCCACAAGCTGGAGAGATGCTCTGGATGATGTGCCATTTGTCATTTTAAACGATTACACATTGCTGCCACGCTGTGCGTGTGGCAAGGCGTGGCGTCAAGGGGCAGCATGCAAAGTGCTCGATGTGGCAAACACTTTGCGGCAGCCGCCACTTGAGCGTGCGTCCCAGACAACAAAAGCCAGCGTCTGGCTCTGTCTCATGAGTACGAGTACTACTCATGAGTACTCATGCCCCTGCCACAGCCACTGGCACAGACAAGCGGCGACTGTCGCGATTCTGGTGCCCAATTTTTATTGGCTGCGCCAATTTTTATGTACTGAGAGTCGCCTACAAGCGGCAAGCCACAAGCGACTTGCTGGCCAAGTGCCACACCCACGTTTCCGTTGAATGGCGCCCGAAAAGTTGGTGGAAAAAAGCCTGGCTCGTCTTACAGCGCATCCTTCCTCCTGCGGTTGCCATGGCTAATTTCATTTAAACCGTCATAAGCGGAAAGTACAACAAGGATACTTTTTTCCCCCTTTTTTTTTTGTTTACGCTCACACAAAGGCGGCGGGCAGGAGGGGGCGGGGAACATTAATAATTTCCAGGACGGAGCAAAGAACATCCTAATCATGGGACACAGGAGAAATTAGCCAGATCCGTTTAATTAGGCGGCAAGGAGCGGCTTTCTTCCTGTTGCTGCTTTTCCGCCTGGGAGACACTGAACGAAGGCCTATCCTCTGGCCACACAAACCACAAATACACTCCGATATACCGATAAACACACACACAGAGATATTGTATTTATAAGTAGTATAGTAATGCTTTCGATACACGACGATCTGGCAGTGGCTTTAGTTTCGTTTTGGGGCTCAGCCCCGAACTTTCGAGTAATTTTCCAAACTAAAGAATTGCGTTTACATTTTCTGGAGTTCTTTTCGCTTTTGTTTTTGTAGGCGAAACTTAACACAATGAAATTTTTGTTTATTTTCTTTATCCTTTTTTCCGTATCTTTGTTTTTTTTTTTGTATTTGATTTCCGTAGGAGCCTCTTACAGTATATTGATGAGGAGCTAAAGCTAAGGTAACTACACCCTTCCCCCTACCACCCTACCACCCAACCACCGTACCACCCTACACCCAAAATAAAAATATTGCGAGCGAACATCAAGGCTCTCGGTGTCCCCCGTACCACCAAACACAGCCCCCTGCACACCCCCATGCGCACCCACACTCACACACACACACACACACCCCCATGCGCACCCACACACACACAATAGACTTTGATTTAGCGTTAAGTTCATTTCATATACTTCCTCTTCTTCCACTTCTACACTTCTCTACTTCTCCACTTCCATTCTTCACGAGAGCAGCGCAGCCGGGAAATGCAACTTTCGGGGGCCCTGGCACTTCTCTTCTGCACCTGCAGAGCACCTCTTCCGCTTCTCACAAATTCCCCATGTGTGTGTGTGGCATCCATCAAGGAATATCTGCGGAGGCAGCATCATTATCATTATCAACCAGACCAGCAGCGGCAGAGGCAGCTCATCATGTGGGCCGCTTTGGTTTATTACGAACTACCCTACCGTATCGCCCCGTCCTGTCAGGCTGTCCTGTCAGGCTGTCCTGTCCCAGAAATAGCAACATTTTCATTACGCTTTTTGTTCGGCCTTCATCCATTTAAACCTTATTAAGTTACGGCTGCTGTTCGGCTGGGCTCTGATCTGTTTTGTTCTGTTTTGCCTCCTCCATGAGTGGCATTCCTTCTCTTTGTTTACTGAACTTCTTTTGGGGCGGGCCTTTGTCTCGTCGGGGCTTTGTTCGTGCCTCTTATACCGCCTAAACTTTTGCCTTTGTCTAGCGATAGAGAACAAGGCAGATGCACAATCCGGAGAGGGAGAACGAAATGTTGAGCATACGCACCGTGGTCCGGCCTCATCGATGGCTCAATTATATTCCGGGACGGGCCGCCAGAAGGCAATTCTCAACTAATTTATACAGAGCAATTGGTTTATATTTTGGGCGAAATTTATGCCCCAATGGTCCCCCATTAAATGCGCTCGATTTGTCCTTTGTCCCGAGTCCCGAGTCTGTCCGCGCACCCTTTTCCCGTGTTTATTGTTTATTTATTTGATGTGTGTGCAAATGGGCGTCGCATTGGTTTTATTGTTACTATTATTGCGAATATTTCTGGACATCCCAGGGGCCGTCAGGCCTGTCGAGAGCGTAACTATGTTGCTGACATCCGTCCCAGAACTTGCTCCTGGGGCTCGGCACATGCCACAAGTAGAGGCACATCCATACTGCGATTGAAGATGGAGCCTGGCGGATGGGCATCTTCAGAAATGATTGCCCCAGGGAATGGGAAAAACAAATTGCAATTATGTTAACATAAACTGAAAATTCACGAAACTAATTCGGAAAATGGGATTCCTCCGGTCATTTCCTGACGATTCCCCAATCTACCGCCCCCCACCCTGGCGCCTGGCGCCTGCAAGCAGCTGCTGAGGCTGAGATTTTCCAGTAAATTGTGGCCCTGCCTCCTGTTTGTTTTTTGGGGCGTGTTTGTTCTCGTCTCGTTCTCGTTTTGGGGCAAAATTGTTCGCATTTTGTTTTTCGAATTAATTTTCCCAACAATTTCTTCATTTTATTCGCTTTTCATTTCATTTTTCTGGCTCCTTTTCTTCTCTGGGCGTTCCACATTTTTGTTGCTCTGTTGCTCTCTCTGTCTCTCTGGGCTTTTCTCTGTCTCTTTCTGTGGCTTCGGCTGTGTTGCCGTGTTTCTGTTTCTGTTTCTGTGCATTCATGTGTGAGGCTATTTTCTATTCAAGCATTTCCATCCGCATGTGTGTCTGTGTGCTTGTGTATTTTGCATCTCATGCATAATTTATGGCTTCATATTAGTTTATTTATTTATCTTGCGCCCAATACAAAAAACACACACACCCTGCCGCTCCAACCGCCACGGAGAAACCGAATAAAACCTCCCTCGATGGGCGGAATGGCGGAGGCGTGACCAGGAGAGCCGACGCGTCGGCTGGGCCGCAAATAATTTCATTAAAAGCGTAATCCGCTTACCCGGCCTCGGTCTCGACCCTGGGCTGGGGGCTGGGGGTGCGGGGGGTTGCGGCTGCGGCTGCCCAAGGGAGTTTATCATTTCGATTGCATGCGCTGCACACACACACACACACACACACTTGCATGCCTGATAACAAGAATGTGGGTGGAGAACAGGAAGAAGAACAGCATCCATCACCAGCCAGGGAGATGAAGGATATACAGCGGCCTCCTCTCTGTCCACACTAGACACAAGACTTGTCGGAACCCACCACCCACCCAACCACCCCCCAACCAACAACAACACCCCCTTCACGCTCACAGAATCGAATGTTTTGCGCGGTTATCGATCGAAGAAGCTCAAACACTTGGCATTCTTTTCTCTCTCTCTCTCTCTCTCTCGCCCATGCTCTCTCTATCCCGCATTCTCTCTCTCTCTCTTGACGTCTCTCTGCGTGTCTGCTGTGTCGCGATCCTGCTCTGCAGAGCCACTCTGCCATTGCACGACACGGGATTGAAAGATTCCATCGGCCCCGAGTGCAGCTGCTCCTCCCACAACGGGATAGTTGGCGTAGGAAGAGGTGGAGGAGGAGTAGCAGGAGGAGGCGGAGGTGGAGGTGGAGGCGGGGCAAACGGTAGCAGCAGCGGAGGCGGTGGCAGTGCCCAATATGGAGGCGGAGTCGCAGTCGGAGTCGGAGGAGGCAATCATCACCAGCAGCCCCACACCCACCATCATCATTATCATCAACTGCAGCAGCAGCAACAGCAGCATCCACAGCCACAGCTACAACCACAGCAAGCACATCAGCAATCGCATCAGCATCCACAGCATCAGCATCTCCATCAGCTCCATCAGCAGCAATCGACCACCGCTTTGACATCGTCCAGCACCAGCAGCGCCTTGGCCACCTCGGCGGCCCACAATCCCAATTGCAACTCGACCCCCATCAGCTCCTCCGCCTCGCTGGCCTCGATGCCGGATCTGAGCTCCTATCTGGGCCTGGGCCTGGGCATGGGCGTGGGAATGGGCATGGGCCTGGGCCTGGGATTCTCCAATCTCCGCACAACGAGCATTGGCGATGGGGACGACGACGGCCTGGTGGATGTTGACATTGCCATGAATAACGCTGCTCCAACGACCTCGGCTGCTGCCGCCGCCGTCCCAGGTTCAGGTTCGGGAGCGGGCACGGTTACTGGGTCCGGCTCTGGGTGCTCCGCCTCTGCCGCGCATTACCTGAGGCACAGCAGCAATTATCGCTCCGCTGCGGCTGCGCAGGCGTCTCAGACCGCCCATCCTGCCCCCTCGCCGGCGTCTGCGAATCCGAACGCGAACGGGCATGGGCACGGTCAGGGCCAGGGCCAGGGCCAGGGCCATGGCCACGGCCACGGGTTGATCTCATCCAGCATATCGTCCTCCGCGTCATCAGCTTCGTTTTATAATCGCCTACTACTCCTCGATAATTCCAGCGGCGATGCAGTTGGCGGCAGCGGCGGAGGTGGAGGCGGCGGCGTCGCCGGCGGCAGCTGCGGTGTCGGTGCCACCAACGGTGTCGAGGCCGATGCCACACCCCCGCCTGTGACGCAATCGATCGGCGACGGCTTCATGCATTCCAGCTGCCCCACGGCCAGCCTCGGAGCAGCGGCGGCGGCCGACGACGCTGCGGCCAGCAGCTCCTCGCATCTCTACCAGAATCTGCTAAGAAGCAGCTCTGGAGAGACACCCGGCAGTGGAGCGGCGGGCTCCTCAGCGGGCACCAACTGTGATTACCGGCACGAGAGCAACCAGGTAAGAGAGAGCGAACCAGGCGACGTAAAACCCCAATGGCAACTCCCATTAACCACATCCAAACTCTCCTCTAGAACGGGCTGGAAGACTCGCCGCGGCGGCATAGCTCCATGGACCAGTTGATCGGTCTGCTCAATGACATGGGAAAGTCTTCGCGGACACGCAGCCTCAGTGATGGTGGCACCCAGGACGACGAAGAAGGTGAGTGCACAGGGTAATCTCCAGAGGAGTCCAGTACTAATTCCCAACCATCCCATTGCAGTGGAGAAGGAGGCGCAACCAGATCTGCTGAACAACACACCTCCTGTGCCGCCGAAGCGTTCGCACAAGCGTCGCCACACGCCGCCCAGGCCCATCTCCAACGGACTGCCGCCCACACCCAAGGTGCATATGGGCGCCTGCTTCTCGAAGATATTCAATGGCTGCCCCCTGCGAGTGCACTGTACCGCCTCGTGGATCCATCCAGAGACGCGGGACCAGCACCTGCTGATCGGCGCCGAGGAGGGCATCTACAACCTGAATATGAACGAGCTCCACGACGCGGCCATCGACCAGCTGTTCCCGCGCCGCACCACCTGGCTGTATGTGATCAAGGACGTCCTAATGAGTCTGTCTGGTAGGTGTCCGCTTGGCTTGGCTTGGCTTGGCTTGGCCTGGCACTTATTTCGTCGGCTTTCGCTAACGGTTCCATCGCTATTTGCAGGCAAGTCCTGCCAGCTGTACAGGCACGATCTGGTGGCTCTGCATTCCAAGCAGACGGTACGATTCTCGCTGCACATGAACAAGATCCCCGAGCGGCTGGTGCCCAGGAAGTTTGCCCTCACCACCAAGGTGCCAGACACAAAGGGCTGCACCCAGTGCTGCGTCACAAGGAACCCCTACAACGGATACAAGTATCTGTGCGGGGCGACGCCCAGCGGCATCTTCCTGATGCAGTGGTACGATCCGCTGAACAAGTTCATGCTGTTGAAGCAGTGCGAGTGGCCGGCCATCAGCATCCTGGGCGGAGGTCACGGCTGCGTTCAGAACGGACACACGCCCGTCTTCGAGATGATCATCACGCCGGAGCTGGAGTACCCCATTGTGTGCACGGGAGTGCGCAAGGCGATGAACGGCTGCCTCAAGCTGGAGCTGATCAACATGAACAGTTGCGTTGTGGATGCTGCTTCGGCAGGGGGCATGGGCAAAGGAGGTCTAAACGGGATTTGTCTTGCAGGTGCCAGCTGGTTCCACTCGGAGGACCTGGAGTATGACGCCATGGCCACGATGGTGCCGCGACGCGACCTCCTGAAGGTGGTGCGTGTGCACCAGGTGGAGAAGGACGCCATTCTCGTCTGCTATGGCAATGTGATGCAGGTGGTCACGCTCCAAGGCAACCCCAAGCAGCACAAGAAGATGGTATCGCAGCTTAACTTTGACTTTAACGTAGACAGTATTGGTAAGAGATGGCCCACCCACCGCTGCGCCTCCACCTTCCATCAGTAACCGCCACACTTGACCATTCTCTTTCCAGTTTGCTTACCAGACAGCGTTTTGGCATTCCACAAGCACGGCATGCAGGGGAAGTCGCTGCGCAATGGTGAGGTGACGCAGGAGATCAAGGACATGAGTCGCACCTACCGGCTGCTGGGCAGCGACAAGTAAGCACGATCCATGATCCATTCAGTTGGTATCACATTTGATATTATCTTTTTTTTTTCAGGGTTGTTGCCTTGGAGAGTCAGCTGCTTAGGACTGGCTCCCTGGGCAGTGAGGAGGGACACGATCTGTACATTTTGGCCGGCCACGAGGCCAGTTACTAGGCGCCCGCATAATCCACTTGTTATATTTTAAATATAATACGCTACACAATACGTTTTAATGGCAAGCAGGCGCCGTCGTCGTCGTCGTCAACTAATAACTGTAATTTAATTACTCGTAGAACTAAGAATTGGATTACTGATGATAGATGGATGGTATATGATAGACGATAGATGATAGATGATAGAGCCACTTACATACACTTACATGTCGAGAGTTCGATAGCTACTTAGCGCAATTTTATCGCACGTAGAGGCAGCATCCATAATCCCAATTCATTGCGCTATACTTTGCCGATACACTCGATATAAATACATACAATACATACATTAGATACTCGTAAGTCTCACAGTCTGCGTCTGCTACGTTGATTCCGTTGTAGTTCTATTTTTGTATTACAAAGAAATGCTTTAATTTATACAACTAACTTTAATGACCTACCCTACGGTAATCAATAGTTATGTTAGAGATTTGTGTACACGTTTCACAAAGCCAATAAATACGTTTATAAATAGTCAGCTACGGGCGAAAGCAACAGAATCCAATTATACATATTTATACACACGCAATTATATTTACATACATACATTACGAGATCCACTAAGGCAATTAGAAACTAATAAATATTACATAGTCTTTAGCAATTGTAAATCGCAATGTTTTTAGGTGGTTAAATCTGCTTTTGAATTGGCTCAATAACGAAATTGGTAGGATTCGATGCGATCTGTTGCACATCGTGAGAAGGGTATGAATGAATGACGAGTATTTAGGAATGCAAAGCAGATACGGTTTGTTGGGAAACAAAAATAGAAATTAAGACTTTTCTAAACTAATAACACACAGAAATTACATGCAAATTGAACATATAAACTAAATGGCTGAAACGGCCCCTATCTTTATTGTGTGTTAAACTGATTGTCGTAGTCACGTTTTTAGGCTATACGAAATCAAAAAAGAAAACTTTCCGAACAGCACATTACGTCTTCAGTTGTAAAAATATTCTCTAGATCTTAAGTTATTTAGTTCTTATGACAAAGCGTAAAACCGAAAATTATAAACTAATACAAAAAAAAGAAAACAGAAACACAAAATTGTTGAACTCTAGTTTAGTGAAAAAATAAAAGTATTTGAAAAAACTCTGTACGAGCGGTTCAGTTTTGAATTTGGCGCCCGTCAAAACGCGCTATGGTATTTCTCACAAATGCGTGTTGTCTCACTCACTTGCCAAACGCACTAGCCCATTTAGTTTCGGTCTCACGTGTTCCACACATTTGTTTACAAATTTCTGTTCAAGATGCCGTTTGAAGTTCCTCCCTGGGAAGATGGAGCCGAAATAATTGACTTTATGCCGATGACCTCGGCAGGAAACGGAATTGGTGCCACAAAGAAGTCGAAGAAAAAAAAACCTAAGAAGAAGAAGTCAAAGGCGGCAGCTGAGGCGGAGACTGCCACGGCTAATGGCGGATTTCGCTACAGACCTGGTGGAGGACCCTTGGCTCCGCCAGCAGACACCTCGTCCGACGATGAGGCAGATGACGAAATGCGGGCCATGCACAAAGTGCGATCTGGTCGCGTGGAAAAGCAGCGTCCTCCTGTTCAAACGACAAAAGGTGGCAAGAAACAACTGGGACTCAAGCCGGAGCTGGCGCAGGCTGCACTGGAGGCAATGGAAGTGACGCCGGCAACCGCTGAGGCGGCACCTTCGCTGGCAAACAAGCTCCAGACGGAGCTCCTGGGCGGACGCTTCCGATACATCAATGAACAACTCTACACAATGAACAGCCACAAGGCGGAGGCCATGTTCCGCTCAGATGCCTCCGCATTCGATGCCTACCATGCCGGCTACCGACAGCAAGTGGAAAAGTGGCCAGCGAATCCGCTAAATCGCATCATCAAGACTGTTAAACGACTGCCCAAGACGACAATCATTGGCGACTTTGGCTGTGGAGATGGCAAGCTGGCCCAGTCCTTGCCCAACAAGGTATTCTCTATGGACTTGGTGGCATCTCGAGGCGACATCATACCGTGCAACATTACGAATACACCGCTGGAACCACAATGCCTGGACGTGGCTGTCTATTGCCTCTCGCTCATGGGTACCAACTTAAACGACTTCTTTCTGGAGGCAAACCGTGTGCTCAAGCTCCATGGAAGCGTCTACATTGCGGAGATTCAGTCGCGCTTTGAGGATGCCCGAGACTTCGTTCGTAGCGTCGGCGCCTGCGGTTTCGATCTCGTCAAGAAAGATGTGGCCGTCAACTACTTCTACTTCTTCCACTTCAAGAAGATGCGGCATGTGGACAAGGCAGTCAAGCTAAAGCCGTTCTCTCTAAAGCCTTGCCTCTACCGCAAGCGATGAGGACAAAGGTAAAAAGTGCATACATTAATTAAATGTAGAAAATAGAAAGGCGTAATAAAATTCAAACTTGTAAATCCAATCAGCTAAATCGTATAATTGTTTTAAAGCGGAAAAAAACCCACTGGAATTAATATAATTGACCGCGTAATTTAGTTATACCATTTACCATGCGTTCGAATGCACCTAACACCGTACCTTCTGAAAGAATTTACCATGGGCTAGCGAACCACCCTCAAAGAAGACCGTGAGAAACAAACCAAGAGAGAGCCATGCTCAGTTTTGCGTTTCAGTGAAGTATCTCAATCTTTTGCTCTCCCAATATTTTTTCAACTGCGAATCCGAACGGTTGGGTTTGGGCCTACTCGAATATTATTAAAGACGGTACGTTTCGGGTTGCCAGCACTTGGCCGAGAAGCATCTGCGATCCGATCCCAAGATCCCCATTGCGAATAGAAAAGCGCGCAATTCGCCAGTGTGTTTAAAAATAAATTGGAAATTAATTTGTTAGCTACCACTTTCCGTGCAGTTTTCTAGTTCTCCCACTCGCCCACGCCTATATTCCCACCCTCGCTCCCCCTGTCTATCGCTCTCTCTCTCTCTGTCCCTCTCTTTCACTCTAGTCTCTATTACTCACTCAAACTCACGTAAAATTTCAACAGGTATTCAACGACAACAACAAATTATCTTTTTTCGCGTTCAAAAGAAAAAAGTGTCCAAGAATTTGTTTATTTGCATAAGCTTGTGTGAGTGCAGTAGGAATCGAATCGAATTGAGATCGGGAATCGGGAAAAGCAGTTGGTGAAAGTGAAAACAAGAAAAAACAGCTAAAACCACAGCCACAGAGTATCTTCATCTACGTATCCTTCCCGTGGATTATCAAAAGGATTCTAGAGCGACGACTTCTTGGTGAGTATCTGAAAGTTCCACCAGAATCGCGCCTTTTGCTGGGCTGCTTAGATTTTTTTTTTGGGCTGTGGTCGGGAGTTTTCTGTGGCTTTCGGTCTCCGTCTCCGTTTCGGTCTCATTTTATGTTTCCGACACACACATATACGCTTGGGCCAGAATGACTTCATAGCCACTCACTCACAGACACATACACGGGCTGAGAGAGCCGCTCTCCGACAGAGCCAAAGAGAGGGAGAGAGTTGTTTTTTGGCCATAGTTGTAGTTGTAGCGCTTGTATTTGTATCTGCATCTGTATCTGTGAGCTATCAAGCTTTCCGAGTATCTTTTGGCACGGTATTCTTTCCGTTTCTTGTTTTGTCCACTGTACGCGTGTATTCGTCCCACATTGTTGCTATTGCTGTTGCTGTTACTGTTGTCTCGCCTTACTCCACTTTTCCTTTACCGAATTTTGTGTTTTCCTCAGTTCCTTCGCATTTTGCCATTTGCTGTGCCGCCAGCCAGAGGCATTGCAACAGGGGAGGGTTCCAATTGGGCAGTGGTAGTCAAGGAAACGTTCCACAACACCGATCAGATACAAATGTATCTGAAAGCAATTTGTGCCGCCCGTGTGCGTATCTATACATAGAGGCGTTTGTAATTTTGGAATGCGACTTATTCCACAGGGTGGATAGATCCCATCCAACTGCGTGTTCCATTTGTCCCACGTCTGTCGCTTTATAGGGGCTACCATGTCGACGTCACTGGGACCAAAATAGATCGCCTGGGGCCATGGGAATCGATCGGTGCGCCGTCGGGCAGGTTTCCAACTGCTTATCAACCATTGAGCGGGTTTTCGCATTGGCATTTCGATATCGAAGGCCTAGCATAGCAGGAAAACTGCAAAGCCTTTAGCCGTACCGTACAACTAGGGGAACACGGCTAGAATGCGGCTGATAAGATAGCCACCAAAACAAAGGCCATGCGTGTGTGTAGTTATGAGTTATGAATGGCAGGTGACTGTGCCCCTGCCTCCTCAGCCATGCGTCATCGAAGACCAAGACCAAGACGATTTTCACAATCCCCGGAAAACCAGGGGCGTTGACTTGCCAACGGTTCTTCGGGGGGCGGAGCCGGGACTGGCAAGAAGTTGTTTACGTGGCAGCGACCGCGAAAGGGGCTGGAGAGCTCTGGGCTTTGACCCAAATAGTTTTAGACATTAACATAAAGACTTCTTCATGCAATGTACATACATACATATGTATGTACATAAGTGGAAGCCAGACGGAGAGAAGCGAGAGAGCGAAGTGGAGCTTGCATTAGAAACCGGTTGCAAGCCAAGAAATTGGCTGCACAGCAGACAAACAGATAAAGCAGCCGAGCAAAGCAAACGAGCGATAGACCTGCAGCTGGGCCTGAGACTGGAGCTGGCACTGAGGTGAGGAGAGTGCCAGCGACTTAATGCTAATAACTGTACAACAAAAACGAGCTACGAAGCAAGTAGAAAATTATCATAAAATCCGAGCATACTCGGAGTGACAGAAAGAGGGAGAGAGATTGGTTGAGAGGGAGAGCGAGAGCGAGAGCGCTAGCTAACGACTTGGCAGCACGCAAAAACATGGCCAAACAACAAAAGTCGGAATCAGAGACAAGTCAGAGAGTGGAATGGAATGGAAAACCTGAATTCGTTGGCGGAGAGGCAACAAGGTGTGTCTGGGAGCGTTAGAAGCTCACCAGAGAGCGTTCTCCAGAGAGAGAGAGTGAGAGAGCAGCTCGAAGAGAGCTGAAGAGCAAGCCTGGCTTTGAGAATTGAATTGCATTGTAAACTGATGTTTTAGGCCACGGGCCAGAGTGGCAAGATCGCATCGATGGGGAGATCTCCACGAGTCCGAAAGTGTAATCGAAATATAGGATGATTGTCTCGTATTCTTAGCTCACTCTACCAACCCCCCTTATCCCTCCGCTCTGCCCATGGAACCAATCTAATCTGTCAACAAACTCAATCAGACGGAAGGCAGCTTTTCCAGCTCGCTTCCAGCTACTCTGCCTCCTTCCTTGCGCCCCCCCCCCATCATTTTGCATTCTATTTTTATTTGTTGTCGCATCGATTTTTACTTTTGTTCTGGAACGGCGGTTGTGTCGTTGGCGGGACGTCCATAGGTCTATGATTTATGTGAAAAGCGCTGAAGTGGACAAAATTATCCACTGTGGCGGCTGTTTACTTGCCGAGCCTTGCTCCCAGCCCTAGTCGGGCTCCGCCCTCCCATTCCGGATGAGCAGAAATCAAATTGCGGTGATTTGGGTGCGGCAGTGGCAGCAACAGCAGCATCGACTGCATTCAGAGTTCGTTGGCCAAATGGAGTCGAGTGCTTTAAATAGCTATTGACAGAGTACGGGTGTGTGGGTGACGTGAGGGTCTCTCGCGGTGGTGCTAGCTGTCAGCGAACGCCGATCAGAGCATGCTGGTAATTAGCCAACCGACACTGGGTAAAGCTGCCACTTGAGCTGGCCAAAAGTGGCAGGCGATGACAAGAAACCCATCTCGTCAGCTCGATCCACTTTTGTCGATGGCCAGCGATTACACTTCGTGGTCATCCCCGCTGCAGGCCTCAGGCTGGTGCTCGATACGGTTGCGAAATGGGAACGGATCTGGCTTATCGGGTCGCCTGAGTCGCCTTCCTGCACGGCTCACACAAATGCAGTTCCGCTCTGCCGATAAGTCACCGAGTTTCCCAAGACAGAACACACCCTCTTGCCGACTGTATTGATTGACCCACATACACGTCCAGAAGGCGCTAATGTTTACGCGTTTCTCATTCGATTTCCCCTAGCTCGTACCCCAAGAAAGCAGCAAAAAAGAAACCAGAGAGACCCCGTGAACTCCAGTGGAACTTTCAGTGTTGCGTGAGTCCAGAAATAACTCCCAAACTCCCAAAGATCTCTGCTCGCGGAAGCGGGGCCATGTTTATGGACGGACGGATGTTGAGCACTAGCCTTTCAAAAAGCCACTTTGAATAGCAGCACATTTTAGACACAATTTATTGGCAACGGTTCGTTGGTTTTGGAAAATGGCAAGTTCGACAAGTTTTGTGCATTTTACCGGCGAGGAAATGCTTAATTTTAATGGGCTTAAAGCGAAAGTTCATTCAGAATCCGGGCAGGGGTACCGAGGAGTGCTCCGCATACCCTGTAAACTGTCATGACGGCACCGCCAGGTGACATAATATGATGACAGACTGTCGAGTGGAGTGTGAGAAGTGAATGAAATGAAATGAGTAATAACCAGAGATACACCAGTTATCCGTCATTCATACTCTCCCCCCTTCGGCAAGCGTTTGTTTGCACAGACCCAATGCAAATTGAATTTGATTTAAGTTGTATTAAATGAAACTTAATTAAGGAGGAGCAGACGCAACTGAAGCAGACTACGCCCAGAAGCACTCGAGAGTGGCAGTCTCAATTGGGATGACCGGCAAGGGCGAGGGCGAGGGCTAGGGGAATCTTTTGTTGTGCTGTTCATTGTATGTGGATGGAACTTTGTTACATTCATAATATGTATACAGAAATATTCTCCTACATGTGTATGCACAGCGCATACGTGCCGCATTGTTTGTCCGTCCATCCGAGTCTCTTTCATACAGATGTATCTATTCGCACCCCGACTACAGCATCGCCGTCATGATTAGACAATCGCCCAGAGCCAGCTTCTGGCTCTCGCACTTGATGGATTTCACCTCGACCCCCTTCAATTGAAGCGAATGCTGTTCTCTTCTGTTTTTTGGGTGTCGGCACCTCTTGCAAATATTTCAATATACTCTAGAAATAGCTCTCGATTTCATGGCATATTCTGACGCTGCGACGTTGATGATGTCATCGTTAATGCGATACGAGCATAAGGAACATGCTCGTGCACAAGTATTACATGCTATCTGCTCGATTTGTTTTGGATTTGCTGCCAAACAAATTTGCAATGCGGTGCCCGGAGATAATGAGGCTGATTCACCGGTCGGCGATGATCACTCAAGTGTGCCCTCAGTCACATCTCGCTATCGCTCTCAATCGAATCGAAGCCAATCCAAGCGAATTGCAATTACGAGTACCAGTAACAGCAATTCAACAATTGCAACCTTCTCTCGATGATGTCAACATTGCGTATGCGCAACCTTCAACTATGGGAATAAACACACAGCACAGAACAGCCGAAATAATGCTATATAGAGCCAAACAGACACACTTACATGCACATACATACACATGCTCCTCGTGATATACAGAAGAAAAAAAATAAATAAAATACAATAAATTAGATGTTTGTCTGCTTTTCTGGTTCTGGGTCTGCTGGTCTGCTTCTCAACATACATATTTTTTTGTGAGTTTTCGTATAATTTTGAACGCACGATGACGCCACCAGAGTTTATTCTCTTTGGGGTCGTGCTGTCGCCCCCCGTCCGTGCTGTCCCTGCTGTCCCTGCTGTCCGTTGTCCGAAATTGAAATTGTGTTGCGATGTTCTTTGAGACTTTGTTTTTGCGTTTATGCTGTAAATTTTGATCGCTGGAAATAGTCGTTCTCCGCAGCTGTGCCTGTAAGTCTGGCCCATCAATAAAACTCTGCAAAACTGGTTCAGCTAGCTCTTTTTCTCTCAGTGAATACTCGTGCCGTACCCCCACTCTTTGGCATCGTGGTATACCCCATTCGAAATCAATTAAACACTAAATTGAACTCGCAGTGCAATCGGTCGGTGCATCTTCTGCCAATTGACTTTCATTCCTTTCCCGTTAACTAATGCCTCAATCAGCGTTGATTGAAGGCTTCAAGAGGCTTCTCTGGGTGGGGCCAGCCCAGAGCTCGGAGAGAGCACACCGATGGCGACGTTTCACAATTTCAAGTCCCGCTAAACGTAAACCGCAAACGGAACGAGAACGGGAACGGGATCGGGTGAATGCGAATGGGAACGGAATGGGATAAGAAGTAGAACATGACGCAGCCCCGACTTGCCGGCTTATATAACACAAAACACACACACACACACACCCACATACACGCAGACATAATCGTATTCGATTGTATCCAACGTCTGTCATTGCTGAACTTCAAGAAACGTGAGCTTGAGAAGATCATTTGACTTTCAGCTTTTGCAAAGGACTTCCGCGAAAGTCCGCTCAGGCCTCGCTTCAGGCATACACCAGCACTAGTTAGGACCTGGGAATCTTCAGCCATAGATCTGCGAGTGCGGACTGATGTGCTGTTTATGGCCTGGCTTGAAAGCTTTACGAGTACGCAACTCGTTTCAGTCTGCACTTGTTAGAGGGAATGGCATGCGGCTGTGGCTTTCGCTAGTTAAACTTTAACCATTGCAATTCAGCATTTAATGGGCATTTTCTCGACTTCCCCATCTTTGCAGCTCCCCGACAAAGCGCTAAATCACTGGGAGCTATTGCAGAGAAACTACTGAGCCAGCTTCAAGTAAGTACCAACTAGAGCCCCGCCAGCGACATGTCTTCGCATGACATCATAGTCGCCCCGGCACCAGCGCTGGCTGCCCCAGAGGGTTGAAACCCCTGCTAGCTGGTAGCTTCCTTGCTGGTCTGTGCCCCATTTTGTTTACGAACTGGCGCCAGGCAAATTGAGCAACTTTATGGCATGTTTTACGCTCTAGCTGCAGACGCCTAATGAGCGAGGGCGCCCACACACAGACACACACACGACCAGAAGGAGTGGGCACATCCGGCCGTCCCCTTGTGCTGGGAGCCAGGGGCATCGACTGTTGCACCAACTAAAGTTTTCCCTTGCTTGCAGCGTCCTCCAAGCTGCTGGCGTAGCCCCCCAGAAGAGAAAGATGCCAGCGGAAATTAAACCGTCCGCGCCCGCTGAGCCGGAAACGCCGACCAAGAGCAAGCCAAAGAGCAACTCGTCGACGTTCTCAAAGGCCGCTCTAGCCCGCGTTACCCTCCTCGATGGGTCCATTCTGGACGTGACCATTGATGTGAGTATATATACATATTCCTGCAAGCACGACTTATCGCAATGGCAATCAATCACACACACACAGCGGAAGGCCAAGGGTCGCGACTTGGTGAACTCCATCTGTGCCGGCCTGAACATCATTGAGAAGGATTACTTCGGTCTGACCTATGAGACGCCCACAGACCTGCGCACTTGGCTGGACTTGGAGAAACCCGTGGCGAAGTTCTTTCGCACAGACCCGTGGCCCCTGTCGTTTGCCGTGAAGTTCTATCCCCCGGAGCCGTCGCAGCTGCAGGAAGACATCACGCGCTACCACCTGTGCCTGCAGGTGCGCAACGACATCCTGGAGGGCAGGCTGCCATGCACCTTTGTCACCCACGCTCTGCTCGGCTCGTATCTGGTCCAGTCGGAGATGGGCGACTACGATGCCAAGGATATGCCCACTCGCGCCTATCTGAAAGACTTCAAAATTGCTCCCAATCAAACGCCGGAGCTCGAGGAAAAAGTCATGGACTTGCACAAGACCCACAAGTGAGTGAAACGCATTCAAAGCTGGTGCTGGGCATCATTTAACATATCCTACTCTTTCAGGGGCCAATCGCCTGCCGAGGCTGAGTTGCATTACCTGGAAAACGCCAAGAAGCTGGCCATGTACGGCGTGGACCTGCACCCGGCCAAGGACTCCGAGGGAGTGGACATTATGCTGGGCGTCTGTGCCTCCGGATTGCTGGTCTACCGCGACAAGTGAGAGCCTCTCAAACTAAAGCCCAACAATTCGCTAATGCGTCGTCTCTTTCGCTTGCAGACTGCGCATCAACCGCTTTGCTTGGCCCAAGATCTTGAAGATCTCGTACAAGCGTCACCACTTCTACATCAAGATACGACCGGGCGAATTCGAGCAGTACGAATCGACCATTGGTTTTAAGCTTGCCAACCATCGGGCCGCCAAAAAGCTGTGGAAGTCCTGTGTGGAGCATCACACCTTCTTCCGCCTGATGACGCCAGAGCCGGACAATAAGTCCACCATGTTCCCCAGGTTCGGGTCGAAGTACCGCTACAAGGGACGCACCCAATACGAGACTAGGGCCACGCCCGTGGACCGTACGGCGCCCAAGTTTGACCGAACCCTATCGGGGGCGCGCCTCACGTCGCGCAGCATGGACGGTAGGACTTAACTAGCTATATCGCCATATCGCAGTTCTGATGTCTCTCTTTCCATTCCCATTTAGCGCTCGCCATGGCCGAGAAGGAAAAGGTGGCTCGGAAGAGCAGCACCCTGGACCATAGAGGAGACCGGGCAGACCGAGGAAATGATGCGGACGCGCACAGCCGCAGTCCCATAAAGAACAAGAAGGACAAGGTAACTGACGCTGCTGACTGAGGATTCCGGCTGGCACTTGCCTAGCTTGACCTTAGCTTGAGATGAGATGACCGTGTTTAACGATTTTCGGACTTAACAAAATATTTTTTGTACTTTCTTCTCGGTTTGTTACTAACTCACTCACAAACCAAACCAAACAAACACACGCACACGCACTTACAACCACTAAATACCGATACAACAACATGGTGTACATCTTCGTCTTGGTCTTCGTCTTTGGTGACCCACCACCATCCATGATAATGATAACGATAACGATAATGATAATGATGTGCTCGTAATTCTGCCTGCCCCCTTTGTGGCCTGAACTGACTCGCCCTACCACTCCATACTAAAACCCCGAATCGTACATCCCCCAAAAACTAACCAGTTAATACGCCAATCGAGCACCGGCACAGGTTCGGCCTCCTCGCAGAGCTCCCTCGAGGGTGACTACGAGCCCCGCATCGAGGCGGCCGACGCAGGCTCCGCCGAGATCGAACTGTCGCCCCAAGTTCAGGTTAACGTGAACACTTTTCTACCTAAACCGTATCAGAATCGATTACTTCCCTCGATTTCTCCTAATTTACTTCTTTTCGGCTTTGAACTCTCTGCTTATCGAATGTTGTGAGCTTAAGTATGAAAGGATTTTATTTGAAGACTCCCCCGAGGTTTATTTGTTCCGTTCAGGGCTTACCACTTGCATATATATCTCTCTCTATATCTATATATTGTTATATATTATTGTATTTTATCAATCTTGTGAACATATTAATTTATTTTTTTTTGCTTTGATTTCATAAACGACTTTCCCAAATCCACTTTCCGGTAACCACTGAATGCGCAGTTCCTTGATCTTGAGATGGTAATTTCTGTACAAACAAAAAAAAAACCTCCTAACTGTGCCGTCAATTGTAGTCCTTAAGTCCTTCTCTGTGTGCATTCATTTACTCTATCTTGATATCCGACTTCTTTGAGTGTTTAACTATATTTTTTCGTATTTTGTGGCGTCAATATCCCCCACCTTTCCCAAGCTGTAAATACCATTTAACCCACTGCAGGCCAAACAAGTACAGTCTACACAAAACAATCATTGAGCAAGTAGTGCATAAGCAAGTCCTCACATCCCCATAGCAATTTCCACGCTTGTATATAATCTTCTTCATTTATTTTTGTGTAGCAAGCCCCCGCCCTTATATTGCACAGCATGTTGCCTTTTCTCCCGAAAATTCGTCTATTCCGTCTATTGCGTCCACGGTTTTGGAATGTTCTCTAACTTATTTCTCACTTCCCGCAGGACGAGGAGAAGGAGGCCAAGCTCCGAGAGAAGAAGCTCAAGGAGAAGGAAGAGAAGGAACGCAAGGAGAAGGAGAAGAGAGATCTGGATGAGAAGAAGAGGGCAGAGAAGGCGGCCAAGGCAGCCGCTGCTGCTGCTGCTGCTGCCGCTGCAGGGTCGGGAGTCAATGGTGAGTATCTTTGAGATGGAACATAAATTAAGTCTCACTCTTCTGCAATTGTTTAGGCAACGACGAGCTGAACGACTCCAACAAGTCCGACAAGTCCGGCAGACGTGTAAGTATCCATCCAATGTTTAGATATTAAGTCTCGTAACTCGTAAGCTAAGGGATAGACTCGCACTGAATGCGCTCGACCTTGTGTACATATCCCATCCCATTCCACCCCAACCATACCTCAAACACCTCACTTAAGTTTTACCCGTAAGTTCGGTTCCGATAGTTTGTAGATAATCCGAATCGATCTTAAGTTATCCTTATTATTATTTACGTTGTGTACGAATTTTAATTTTGTTTTCTCCCCTCCAATTTATCTTTCGTTTTATGTTTGAAACTTTTGATTTGTCGCCATTTGGGGCCGTCACATACGACCAGGGCGTTGGCATATTCTCCTCGGGTCGCAAGAGCAAGAGCGGTTCACCATCGAAGGATGGCAAGGACAAGTCCGGAAAGGACAAGGACAAAGAAGTGGGTCGACTTGGTCTGGTAGTTACTTCGGGTCTCGGCGAGCAGGAACAGGATGAGGCCAACAAAAATGCCGCCAAGAATCGCGGTTCGGCGACTCCCGGCGTCACACGTCCCTATGAGTACGCTGTGGGTGCCGACGGCAACACTAGCCCCACACGCAAATCCTACACACCGGGCGGCTTCCGCTACGACCAGGATCCCAATGCCAAGAACCTTGGTGCCGATGGTCAAGAGCAGCTGTCGCCGACGTCACAGCAGAAGAAGATCGGCTTGGCCTTCAACTATGCTCCGGGCAACGAGAATGCCCTGAAGGAGACGGCCGAGAAGCTCAAAGCTGGACAGCTGTCACCCCGCACCCAGGACAAGCTGAACCGCGGGCAACTGTCGCCCAAGTCCAGGGCCAAGCTCCTGCAAGACGGCAATCTTTCGCCAACCACCAGAGCCAAGCTCCAGGGCAGTGCTGTGGATGCCGCCGCTGTACCCCTGAGCGATGCCCAGAAGCGCTCCTATTCCCCAACCAAGGGTCCTCAGGGCTACTCCTCCGGGGCACCGGGCAGCTATAAGCCCATATCTGATCCGACATCAGATTTCCTTGAGTCTCAGCGCTACAACAAGGAGCCTGGCTACGTGGGCTTGGGTGATGCTGGTGCGACTGGTGCTGCTGGAGCTGCTGGTGCTGCAGGTGCTAAGAAGCCTGGCTCGCCCACAAAAACTGGTCCTGGTGTGGTTGCCGGAGCAGGAGCAGGTGCAGCAGCAACAGCAGCCGCTGCAGCCGCTGCTAAGCCTAAGAAGAAGCGCGTGAAGATAATGGTCATTACCTCGAAGTATGATCCAGCTACAAAACGCATTGATGCCGAAAACGGAACGATTGAACACTCGACAGGGATCCTGGATCCAGCTACTGGACGTATCGATACCAAGTATGGTGTGATTGACCCAAAGAAGGGCACCTTGGAGGCCCTCAACACTAAGACGGGAAAGAAGGAGCTGTTCCAGGGCGATGTAGACATAAAAACGGGCAACCTGCACTTGGTTTCCGGAGTAGCAGATCCAAAGACGGGACGCCTGGATGACACGCTTGGCCAGATTGTGTGCATAACCCCGCAGGACAATCCGGTGGTGGAGCTAACGGTGATCACCAGCCGCATTGATCCCGCCACCGGCAAGATCGATACCGTCAACGGGGAGGTTGAGCGTTCTCTGGGAGTCCTGAATTTGGATACTGGCCTTCTGGATACCAAGTACGGAGAGATTAATACCCGCACGGGAGAACTGAAGGCCATCGATCCCAAGTCCGGAAAGATTGTGGTGAGCAAGAACGTCAAAGTCGATCCAGGCACTGGCCAGATCACCATTTTGGGTGTCATCGATCCTAAGACCAACAAAATTGATCCCAGCCAAGGCCGCTTGATCGAAGTGGGCCAGCAAATCGACCCGATAGTGGAGGTCACCTCGCTGGCCGGCAAGTTCGACTCGAAGAAGAACATCATCGATGCAAAGACAGCTCAGGTGGAGACTTCCGGCGGTCAGTTCGACCCGAAGGCTGGCAAGATCGATACGAAGTACGGCCAGATCGATCTGGTCAAGCACACGATCACCTTCAACGACCCGAAGTCGGGTAAGACAGTGACGCGTGACATTAAGATCGAGCCTGCCACCGGCCAGATTGTGCTGAAGAACCAGATCAACCCCAAGAACAACAAGCCGGACAAGGACTATGCCAGGATAATCTCGCTGAGGATCGTGCAGCAGCGCGTAGATCCCGCAACTAAGGCACCCATTGCACAGGTCAGCGCCGCCAAGGACAAAGACATCATTGTGGATCCCAAGTCGAACCAGATCTGGGTGCCCACGGGTGCCAGCGATCCCAGCACCAAGGAGCAGCAATACATTTCCAGCAGCGTCGACCCGAAGACGGGCTACGTCATCACCATCTACGGCTACCTAGACCCCAAGACCAACGAGATCAAGAAACAGACCAAGCTAGACCCCAACACGATCAAGATCGAGCCCACTTCTGGAAAGATTTACACTGCCACCGGCGAGGTGGACAAGGCCACGGGTGAACCGCTGTACGCCGCCACTCAGGTGGATCCAGAGTCCGGCGAGGTGTACACGAAGCTGGCTCGCGTAGACCCCAAGACCGGAAAGATCGTCATCGTTCGCATCCTGCTCATTTCCAAGACCGATGAGCGCGGTCGCCCAGAGGAGATCGACCCAGAGACCTGCGAGATCGATCCCGTCTCCGGGCGTGTTCTTAAGTTCTTCAACAAAACCGTTTACGTTTATAATATGATTGACCCGGTTACTGGTGAAATTGTGCAGGTCGACCCCAACGATCCCCGTTTCGCCGGAGCCCGCACCACTGTGACACATACGATGACCCTTACCGGCGAAATTGACCCCGTGACGGGTCGCATAAAGAGCGAGTACGGCGACATAGACCCCAACACGGGAGACATCGACCCGGCCACTGCCGTAACAGACCCGGTCACGGGAAAACTGATCCTCAACTACGCTCAGATCGATCCGTCCCACTTTGGCAAGCAGGCACAAGTGCAGACTACCACAGAGACGGTGCCCATCACCCGGCAGCAGTTCTTCGATGGCGTCAAACACATTGGCAAGGGGGCACTGCGCCGTGACTCCGAGGGCAGCTCGGAGGACGACATGACCCAGCAATATGGCAGCGATACAGTCAAGGACATTGTGCTAAGCAGTCCAAGCCAGGCGGGCGCCAGCTCCAAGCTGGGGAAGCCAGTGAGCACGCCCACCGTAGTGAAGACGACAACGAAACAGGTGCTGACCAAGAACAACGACGGCGTCACACACAATGTGGAGGAGGAGGTCCGAAACCTGGGCACGGGCGAAGTGACCTTCTCGACACAGGAACACAAGGTTAGCAAGGGATATACTCTTCCTCTCACTCTCTCTGTCTCTGTACTTCATTGTCGCCTTTAATCTAACGCTTTCAATAATTTCGTATGCCTCCATTTAAGTTTCCATGAACTTTCTTTCTTTGCTATTTGCTGTTGTTGTTACTGTTGTTGCTGCTGCTGTTGCTGTTTAATATTGTTGAATTGTACGCACTAACCCCACCATCATCCACGCAACTACCGTAGGCTGATGCAACACCAACCGATCTGAGCGGCGCTTATGTCACGGCCACCGCTGTCACCACCCGCACAGCCACCACGCACGAGGATCTGGGCAAGAACGCCAAGACCGAGCAGCTGGAGGAGAAGACCGTCGCCACCACACGCACGCACGACCCCACCAAGCAACAACAGCGCGTCGTCACCCAGGAGGTGAAGACGACGGCGACGGTAACCAGCGGTGACCAGGTAAGACCGATCATTGGCTCCAAGATCGCATGAATGCACTTTTCGTTTTGCATGAATTGATTTGATTTTCCTTTCCTGATTTGTATTTGCCTCGCTGTTGTGACTGTTTTGCGTAACTTAGTATCAGAGACGGGACAGCGTTTCCTCGACCAGCTCGGGCGATTCGGGCACGCCCATCGATGGACCATATGATGGTTCTAGTGTGGTGCGCACAGACAACCAGGTTTGTTTTGCATCCCCTCCCTCCCCCTACTATCTTAAAAATCCTAGTCTAAGGTGGTGTAAGGTGTGCATGTTCGTTTCTAATCTCTGGACTTGACTCGACTCTCTCGACAGAAATCTCCGCTTTACTCGAGCTCCGCGACCACAACCACTGGCCCCCATGTGGAGAGCACCCGGGTGGTGCTTGGCGAGGACACACCCGGATACTCGGGACACGGCGAAATCATCTCTACCCAGACCGTGAGCAGTAAAACCCGCACTGTGGAAACCATTACCGTAAGTACTTGTGGGCCATCGACCAGCCCTGGCACTGACCCCATTCGCTGAGTGCGTAAGTATGTAAGAGGTAGGCTCTTTTACTCGAATCCCTCTACAACCAATTTCCTGTGCTCGTACGCGCTCCACTGTACTATATTCCATGCATCAGTCCCTTGTTCGAATGGGTTCAGGTTGAGGCATCTTCCCCAGAACACGCTAATCAGATTTACCAGATGGATATTGACTCACATCATCCCATCCTTCCTTCACAGTACAAAACCGAACGCGATGGGATTGTTGAGACCCGTGTGGAACAGAAGATCACCATTCAATCCGACGGAGATCCGATCGATCATGACAAAGCTTTGGCAGAGGCAATACAAGTGAGTATTATGCGGAATACATACTGGAAGTCTACTGGATATCTAATGACGTACTTTTGTTTTGCAGGAAGCGACGGCCATGAATCCGGACATGACAGTCGAGAAGATTGAAATTCAACAACAAACACAGTAGATTTTATACCTATTTCTAAAGATTTTCGAAGTAAACAGCACACTCCCACTCACTACCAACACTCAACCCAACAACAAACATATACACCGACCCACGCATAAAATTACAACTACAAATACAAAATCGAGATACACAGCACATGCAGTACACCTTTTATACAACCTATACGAGTATCTATATATTATAACGATAACGAGCTGATGACCCACATGACATAAACACTAAGAAGTTTTGAAGTATCGTATCCGCAACCGTCTATGAGAAATGCATCCACATGTTTATTATTTTTATTTTTTTATTACAACTGTTGTTTATAATTACTCTTTATTATTAAATATTGAATGTGCAAGGCAACGTTGAAAAGAAACTCTATATATTGTAAACCACGATTGCATTCAAATACAAAAATAAAACCTAAATGTACACACAAAACGAGTGCCGACTATCAACTTAAAACAATCGCGGTCTCAAGGGGACGAGGACTATTCGCACCATTCATTTTCAATAAGCCACAACGTCTGAATATTTGATGAACAGCCCAGAAGCACCGGCCACGGCGGCGAAGATATGAATCAGTAATGCAATGGGGCTGCTTTTTGCACATGGATCCGGGCGGCGGGTGGCGTGTGGCGGGTGGCCTGAGGCCCCACCCCCAGCGTCATCGCAATTAAGTGAAATTACCGGCCAAATAGAACACAAATGAACCCATTGCGACCCGTTCAAGCGCCCCTCCAGCGATAAGGACCCTGCATTAACATGAAATCCAATTCGCAGTTGCCTGCCACAAAGCGCGTGACAACTCGTGAGCTCCAAAGGGGGAAACCGATTGTAATGCAATATTTGTGCATCCATGCCGTCGAGAGAGGGTAAGGAGAGTGGGCCTTGGCCAAGAATTTCGCTTTGCTATTTTTTGTTTCAGTTTTTCTGTGCAATTTTTAAGTCACGATTAAGCCAGAGGAGCCCTTGTGCTGAAGTCAAAGGGCCGGCATAAAAGGCGTAATTAAAGTAGACCGTACAAGGTGACTGACTAATGCATTGATTCATAGTTTAGATATAAAGTGCGCTCCCCACCGATAAAATGCCGAACGAAAGCCGTTCAACTTGTGAGCCATGCCGTCAATTCGTCAGTCTGTCAGCCAGGCAGTCAGTCGGTTCACTTGGGCTTTGGGGCGCCTGCGGTTGCCTAGAATTTGCACCTGCATGTTCATGCCAACGCCCCTGCCCCTGCCCCTGCCCATGCCCATGCCCATGTCCACCCCGGACTGGCCGCCACACACAGGGACACGATAACCGCATTGAGTGCTCTCTGCTCATGCATTTTTAAATGGCCCGCTGGAAAAATCCTCTTGCGAATATTTCGTTTTTCGTCCATGCAGCTATTGTTTTGACGAGCCTGCTGCATATTGCATGTTGTTGTGGTCAGTATAAAAGTTGTGGCAAATTATTGCATCAAGTTGTTGCCATTGTTTTAGTTTTTGTTGTTCTTCGAGTTGTTATTAGTTGAAAGGCCAGCGGGTTTCCGAAGAACCCGAGACGCGAGAAGGATTCACAAAGTAATGGAATATCTAAGTAAGGCCTCTATGTGAACCTTCGGATTCGCTGATTCGATGAGCAGCACAGCAAGGGGGTGGCCCTACCCAGCCCTGGCGTCCGTAATCCCCAGTTGGTATCGAAATCAGTGCAAAAAATCAAATGCAGACCGGCAATTTCAGGCACTCCGGCGCGACAACGCCAATTAGATTTGATGACGGTTGCGCTTAAATGTTATAAAACAAAAGCGCAGCCCAGGAGGTGGTGGGAGGGCGTTGCGGCGGGGGTGGTGTTATCGTACAAAGCGAAAAAGAATGTTAAGTGAATGCAGTGGGACCGCAAAATGTCATGCGAAATGCGAAGGACCGCCTCCACCCTGCTACCTCCCCCAGAGGTGGGAGCAATCCAATTCTGTTTCATGAAACTGCAATTTGCATGTCTGTCTGGTCATGTTCCCGCTGCCTGTCCGTCCGTCCATGTATCCTTCCCCTACCCACGTAGCTAAGTAATTGCCTACGAATGGACTGCATGAAATGGACAAGTTTTTCGAGTCCTCGTCCTTCCAGGGGCACATGCACATTCGGGATTGCGCAACAAGTGGAGGTAATTATTGAAAATATTTGCATGGCAGCTCCCCCGAACCGGGATAGTGCACCCTTCCCGTGGTGAACCCGTTCTGTTCTCCAGTTGTTTGTAAACAAATGCCCAAACTCCCGGACGGAGACGAGGAAATTTCCTAACGCATTGGAAGTCCTTACGCTCTGAACAAGGACGACGCATGCGCATGCATGCTATGTAAGTGTTATACGGGGATTTCCCCTGCGATTATGTACTTGGGGAAATGCTTACTGAGAGGAAATAAGTAAATATTAGAGTGAGTGATGGTGATCCTTACGAGGCTCTAGATATAGCGGCTGACTTTCTCTGAACGTACCAAAAAGAAGCATTTATGGGAGTACAGTAGTCAATCTCTTTTTAAACTGTAGCCTAGAATTCGGCTGGACTAATTGACCCCTCACGCCACCCACAACCACTTAACACATTCCTTTTGGCTAATTAATAGACCATACTCTAATGGAATTTTCCGACAGGCAGGTAAACTGCTCCACTGGTCAATCGGCCAAGAAATCATCATTAGGCCTTTGACAGCACATATATTTGATTTGGAAGTACGCACATGACGTCCCACAACTCCCTGCACAAATATTGAAACGCCGTAATTAGCGCTGGACACATAATAAGGCATGCAAGTGATTAATTAGTCGAACCGAACTTTTCCTGATAAGTAATGCTTTCATTTTCATTCCTTTTCCAAAGACTGTCTGTATCGACTGTCTTTCGAATTCCCTGCACGCAGATCGCATAAACCTGAAGCCGAATTTGCAATCAAATTCAGAGAACGATAAAGGCTTAACTGACCACTGGACCACGGGCTGAGCAATTTGGGTTTATTGGGTTTATTGGGTGCACAAATATTGAAAAGAAATTTGCGCTAAACGCCTCAAATTGCCAGCAATGATGGCCACACGTATCGAAATGGCAATAAATGCAAATGAAAAGCGATAAACACATATCCCAACAAACACACAGAAGTCAGGCCTACCTCGGCCAAGCCAACCCTTAGCTCTGACTCTCTCTAGAGTCAATTCGTGGCAGAGGGTTATTGTTATGAACCGAACGGGTTAACAAAAACACATTTTCAATAAATACCGATTATGATGAGCCGGCTCGTCTCCTGCCCCATTCGACCATTCGGACGAGGATTGGACTTTGGCAGTTTCGATTTGGGCATGCGAAATATTGGACTGGCGCGTGGACTCAGTCGAGTCGGTGGACGGTGGGGGTGGAGGGAACATATGGCTGTTTTCAGGTGGGTCATTCGATGGCCCATTTATGGAATTATGCCACAACATAAAAATTTGATGAGCTTCAGCGTTACAAGTGCTCTGGTCCGGTCCCTGACTATCGACCATCAGCCCATTGAAAAGTTAACAACAAAACCAAGAAAAATTTCCACTGTTGGAAATTTTGTGGGCTCTTACGCAAGTTGCGGGCCCCACTCCTTGAACTCCATCTATTTTCTATCCAAATTGTCAGTTGCCTCAAGCATTGCATGTCTTTGGCATACGTGTGCCATGAAAAATTCATGGTCTCCGTTCACTGTAGTCCACATAATTAGACGGGCTGCCAAAAAAGAAAGCAATTTCGAAAGTATGGCATTTTTGTCAAACTGATAGATACACTATGCTCCATCAGTAGTGGCACCACTCTGCAATTACCCATGGATCCTGCCACTTTACGAATGCGAGTGTATGAAAGGAACACTGTTCACTTGTCTAGTATACTCCTTCACTTCGTTCGGCAGCGGGTATGCAAATGGGGCACATGTCCAGTCGGGACCTCCCCCTGACAGGGGACGATTAGCTTTTTGTATTGGCTGTTGCCCCGAACCCAATAGATGGAGCCCATAAAAAACAATGCGGCAATCGTTAGATTTCCCCACGAAGATTGCGGCCGTTCCATGTCCTGAAATTTGCGCGCTTATCACTTTAATGTCAGTTGGTCGCCGTGCACCATGTGGGGACAGGGACACCCGTTGGTCGTTTCGCGTAAAGGTCATTGTGTTATTGCCCCCGCCCCAGCCCCAGCCACAGCCCCATTCACAACCAACGTAATAGCGCACAATTTATATTATTAATGCCTCATATGAGTACGAGTATGAGTGCCCAGCTCGGGAAATCCTGAAGGCCCCACGGAGGTCCGCTGAAGGTCCCTCGACTTTGCCCAGTAGGACATACTGTTCTAGCGGTGCCCCCTCCATTAAAACTACTTTTTATCTATTTTTAAGTCGTTATAAATATTTTTAAAGCAGCGGATGTCTTCCAGGAGCCAATCTGAGTTGTGTTTCAATATCGTGTTTAGCTGGAGCAAAGGATAACTTTGACGTATGGCGCTTGGTGGAGGGGTGTTAAAAATAAAAGGCTCGTCACGGCAGCTAATTGACGACAGGGCTGTCTATTGTCCAGTCGCTTTCGTAGGCTCCCGGAGGGGGTGTACTTAACAAATTGCTTGGCCCAGTGTTGCATAATGAATGAAGTGCAAAGAGAGAGTGCTCGGAAAACTACGCAATGAACTGTGTCCACATACTACAACGCCCGAACTTGGACTTCATTTTTCGCGTTGCTAAAGAGGTCACCATATCAAACAGAGTTGGGTCAATAAAGCTCCCACCACCGGGTAATTTTGGACCTTTGTGCGATTGACACACGCATGTCAGTCCCCATTATTGGATCTCAACTCCACTCCACTCCACTCCGCATTACCATTACCCCACTCCTCTACTCCATCCCGAAATTGCGCATTGCCAGCAGGGTTTTCTTTGCACCTGAACTGGAGTGACACACCTCCACCCCTAAACCAACTCCTATCCTAACCCCTAACCCCTACCCCTCCCCGTTCCAACTGGGGCACACGCCCACCCATCGAAAAAGATAATTTACCAGTCGCCCATATCGATCGTGTGAAGCTCGCAATGCTTTTCCTTTCCAAATTGCGTGCCGTGATGTTCAATTTTCCGTAGAGTGGACAAACGAAACCGCAAATGGAAAAACTAAACCAACTATTCTAGATACTCCAGCAAGGAGGCGGGACAAAAGCAGTAGGTGGAGCGAGCGCGAGTGGGCGGGGGCGGGGGCGGGGGCGGACAGAGGGTATCCGACATGTGTGCCGCACACATGAATTATTAATCGACAATTGCCGAAAATGTCCATTAACCATCTGGGGGTAGGAGAAGGAGGCCACGAAAATTTCAATTGCTGACTAATGAAAATTATGGCAAACGGGGTTAGTTTTTCCATCCACATGCAGGTGTTTTCATTTCCTTACCTTTTTATACCCTTGCACGGGGCGAATAGTTTGCTGCGTATTTACAACCATATAATCTCTTTTTGGGTCCTTACGAACTGATGCTAACGAGCAATATCCGAATTTCAGAGCATGTTGCACATTATTTAGGATATTTCAGGTTATCCGTTTACATCAGGAAAGTGGCAATTAATGTTGATCGACAGTCTGGATCCTTCTGGTTCTGGGATGCTAGGTCCTTCGCCGATCTGACTCTGATTAGCCGAGATATGGGCCCATGAACTTGTGGCAAATGATTAAAATATTTTTTTCGGTTCGCTGTATCTCGGCTGATCGTGATCGGAAGAGTCCTCGCATCATGTAATCTGCAGTCTGCATAATCCCGATCCTGGAATGTTGGTCCTTCGCCGATCCGGCCGTTTTTGCCCGAGACAGGGTATATGGGCATCGGTCTCTAAAAATTGACCCTATTTTCAATGGCAAATGACCATTTTCGAGTACTCCCTCCTATACTGGCATTAAATGGCCTATATCTAATTACCCTGGCTCACTGGCACGCTCTATTGGCCAAATGATCAGTTTTGTTGTAATGAGTTTTCTATCAGCATCAAAGTTAGTGTCAAATTTTGAATCACAATTATTTCTAGATTTGTGTGGAGCACTCAAAAGCAACGAGCAAACGCAGCGTATCCGGCATTACAGCATAAATCTCCCTTAGAGCAATAGCAATACAGACACCGAAGCAGCTGAACCAACACGAAGAGTTGGCCAACAGAGAGTCGGCCGGTTTTGAGTGAGTGTAAGAGAGAGAACTGTTTCACTGACGTGTCATTCAACTCGATCGAGAACCAGAAGTCGCCGCTAAGAGCCGCACAGGTGAGCGAAGCGTAGGGGCCTCTCTCCTCGTGGCTATAGCAACTAAACAATATCTGTTGAGCGCAGCGGAAAAAGGCCAAGAGGTAAGAACAAAAACACTCCGTCTCGAATTTACCTCGACTTTGCTCTCGCTTCCACCCGCAGTCAGTTCGCGAAGAGGGCCGGCAGAAGAAAGGTCAAGTTCACACTATATTCTGGCACAAGAAGTCTCTTCTGCACATACAAAACACGAATACAATGATGAGGATACTGGTGACACTGCTGCTGGCGGCGATTCTGGGGCGGCATGCTACGTGGGCAATCTCGTGTGCCGGCTGCGTGGACTTGGACGAAATCAACTTTCAGAATACCGTCGAGCGCTTTCCGTATGCCGTGGTCAAGTTTGACATTGCGTTCCCGTACGGGGAGAAGCACGAGGCATTCGCTGCCTTCTCCAAGGCAGCCCACAAGGTAACTGGAGAGCTGCTGGTGGCCACTGTCGGAATCAAGGACTATGGCGAACTGGAGAACAAGGCTCTGGGTGAGCGATTCGAGATCGACGACAAGAAGTTCCCGGCCATACTACTCTTCAAGGGCAGCGTGGAGCAGTACATTAGGTTCCCCAGCCACTTGGATGTGACACTCGACAACCTGAAGGCCTTTGTCAGCAGCAACACCCCGCTGTATATCGGTCGCGAGGGTTGTCTGAAAGAGTTCAACGATGCCATCAAAAACTACGCAAACCTACCGGACGATGCTCAGCTTAGCTTGATTGAGGAGCTGGATACCCAGCAGGAGAAGCTCTCCAAGCCGGAGGAGAAACTGAGTGGCAAATATTACGTGTTGTACATGCGGAAGATCAACGAGAATGGATACGATTTCCTCGAAGAGGAGACTAAGCGACTGCTGCGCCTCAAAGCCGGCAAAGTGACTGCCGCCAAGAAGCTGGAGCTGCAGCAAAAGCTGAATATTCTGGAGGCCTTTCGCGTCCACAACCTAACCAAAGCAGCGCCCAAAAAGGAGTCATCCAAGGAGGATCTGTGAGCCGCCAGTACCCCCTGTACCTTCTGTAAAGACATAACAACATTTTAGTGATCTTCAAGTACACTCATTCTATTGAATCAGATTTGTATGTACATTAGTTTAAACATATCTGCGTCTCTTAAGTGTTTTTAACTACAATTACACTACGCAACACCAAATTCAAAATTTGAAATAAAAAATACCGCTAAAAATTAATTAACTTAATATTTTCCATACGGTAAGCTGAAGCTACAAAGTTCTTGGGTCTGATTTATAACTGCATTTATTAGCTTTTCAGAATTGCAATGTTCAATACAACCAGATGCAAGATACCTAAATTATGTAAATTCAAGAAGAACTACCTATGAAAAAACAATTTAAAAATAACAGTTTTTGAAAATGTTTTCAAATGCACCTTACCATAGAAAAAGATCAACTTTGTTGCCTAGTGTAATTATTGCTATTGGAATGTCAACTTTACATGGCTTCGATCTCTTATGTATTTTTACATGTGTCATCGGCAACTAAATGTTGGGTGGCGCCAGTAGAAATATCGCCTGGCCAATTCTCCAACTAAGACCCGATAGAATTTTTTCATAGCATATTTTTGGGTGAAGAAATTAATTTAAGTAAATTTACAAGGCTAAAAAAAGCAGAAGCAGCAAAAAAAATGGCTGCACGGGCCATGCAGTTTCTCGAAAGATCGCATGGGGCCAGCGGGGTGGGGAAAGAGGGCTGAGAGGGGAGCCGCTGTTTTTTCTCTTCTCCGTTGTTTACTGTTTCGGGTGGCGCTGTGTCATGGGTGCGAGTGTATGTGTGGCTGTATCTGCCTGGGGCCATGGCTGTGTTTGTGCGTTGTTATCGCTCATTTTCACTTTAATATAATTTGTTGTTGGTGCTGCTGTTGCACTCTCTTGGAGTTTGCTCTTTTGTGCACGCTGTTGGGGCGGCCATATTTATTTTTGTTGTTGCTGTTGCTGTTGCTGTTGCCGTTGCCGCTGATGGAGGCAGACAGCAGCAATAAACGCACGAAAAAGATCTTGTTGTTGCCGTAGTCATTTTGTTTTTGTATTTTGTATGCGAAAGTCAATGAACTTTTTCGGTGTCTACGCATTTTTCGGCTAGATATTGTTGTTTGCGATAACCATTTGGGTGCACTCTGCTGTCCGTCGCAACGAATCCAGATACACACGCAGAGAAACGGGCATGGGGAAAGTATCTGGAGATACTGGAGAAGTTGCCTATCAGTGGCAAGTCGATCCGCAGATAGTGCATTCAATGAAAAGTCGCAGCCAGCGCCCGCTTTTGCCAATGGTCGCCCATTTTTAAGTGTTTCCCAGATAAGCAACCTTTGACCCGCAGCTCTGCCAATTGGCAATCGCCGAAATAAAAAAGCGGAAAACTCAATTGGAAAAACGGCAAGCCCATTTTCTGCTGGTGCTCGCGAAAGTATTTTCACACACTCCCAACCGCAGAACGAACAGAGACTCTAGCTCGGATTCCCACTCCTATACCCCCTCTACACCATCCACGAAGTCGACTGGAGGAGGGGCAGATGATGCAAATGTTTGCCTTTCCACGCAAGTGCATCCGTGCAACCATCAGCCAGAATCAATCAATCGCTTGCAATCAAAGACAACCCTTTCTCTGCCATGGGAAATTGGGAAAACATTGAAAGCAGATCGCCCACGCAGACATAACCAAGCGCAGAAATTTGAACCCTTCTCCTTCTCACTCTCCCTTCCCACCTCCTGCTGCTGATCTGAGCGCACATTCATTCACTTGCAGCTGAGTGCGCAGTTGTATATTTCAGAAATTGTTAGAATGTGCAGACAGGATAATCTGGAGCTGCAATCTGGAGCAAACCCGATCTCCCAAAACCAAAATCGGGCAAGGAAAAATTGAGAAATTTATTGTCGCCGGCGACGCCCTGAGCCAACTCGAAAAGTCATCATCAAACGTAATGTTGCAGGTCGCCATTGCCAGGCCAAGTCCATATGATCTCCATCTGCATCATCCGGGGACTACCTGCTGTGAGATTTACGTTTATGCATTTCATTTTGTCGTTTTGTTCATTTATTTTCGATCGTTTTTTGGCCATAAAACAGGTTCCGTCTCGACGATCTTCTTTATCTCCCGCTGCAGATCGCTGCACATTTGTGCAGCCCATTCCCAATACCAGTGCCAGTCCAGTCCCAAATGCATTTTGATTCCAAACTCCATCTCTCGCTCCAACCCAATCTCCCTCCGTGATTCAACACGCCTACAAGTTGTCAACCCATAAAGACGCGCAGGCACTACTCCGTATCAATTGCGGCCCTCGATCGAATGGTTAGCGCAAGGGTAAGGGTAAGGGTAAGGGTTCGTCGGGGTCAGTCCGAGGCAAATGCATAAATTGTGTAATCCCCCAGCTAGCGCGATACGAAATCTGGTCGGCTGCCTCTGACTTTGATGATGATGCTGACTGGGTTTCAGCCAAGAAAAACATTTTCACGACTCTCTCCTGACTTTTTTGTTGTTCCTATTGCTGTTGTTGTTTTTTTTTTTTTTTGCGGCCTCTTTTGGGGCACCGGGACCAAACCGGCACAGGTAGCCCGTTCAAAACCCGATTTTCTTCATCGTGTAATGCGTTTTTCTTCTTTAGGTTTTTGAAAAATGTTTCATTTTGAGGTTTTTGCTTTCCTCCAACCTTCTTTGATTGCATTTTGTGGCAGCTTGAGCGCAGCTTCAGCCTGGTCTCATGGCTTAATTGGTGGACTAGACCTCTTAGATGACGGGGTGGGGCATGCGTAGGGGCATGGATGAGAGCGGGGGTAGAGGCATGGCCAGCGTCTTGGTCGATTGGCGTTCTGGGCCGCCAGCGTCAATGGCCATGGCCATCGCACCGCATGCAGATAGATACCTTTGCCAGAGTCAATGACTTGTGAGGCATTTTCGTGGGCACCCAGCACCCAAGAAACGCTTGACAGATTTATTCACGAACGTGTACCATGAGAGCGGCAGGAAAAGGCTGTGGGATTGGCGTTCTCATGTGAAGGGAGCGAAGTGCAAACCGCCATAACCGAACAGAGCCGAACCAATGGAGTATTGATTATTGATTCATGAGAGATCCGATAACACCAGCACAGATTTGATGTTGACAAGCCACAAAAGCCGGAAGGTAAACCATGCCAGTGAACCCTTCCCACCAGTCCAACCCTTCCCCGCCAAGGAGCTCCAAGGAACGCCTGCTACCCGCTGACCCTCATTTTCCGAGGACCTTTAATTAATGTGAAATAATTGGCAGAAATTTGTTTGCAGTTTAATTGTCCGACTTTCACCATTCACACTGCCCTCGCTCCCTCCGTATCTCAGCGCAGCTCTAGGCCATTTCCAATTTAATTTTCACAATTTCTCAATCAATTTTTCTTTATTGACAAAGATGCGGGCGAGCGCAGGCGCAAGCGCAACCCGCGAGCTAAATTTGTGTATCAGATATCTTTTGGATTGCAATTGCAACATTTCATTGAGGCGCTTCCCTCTCTCTAGTTCTGAGCTCTCTGCTCTGCGAGTATGTTGGCATGTTTATCAGCACCCGTCCGGGTCATTGACTCGAGTTCCGCCTCGTGGTGCTTGGGCGTACGAATGCATCTTCTTAGAGGGCGGGGGGGTGCGGAATGAGGGCGGCAGAGGGAGCGGCCACATTCGGCGCGAATAAAATGAACCGTGTAGCTTTTCCGCCATCCCGCGAACGGAAGTCCATAAATAGTGTGTGCTTGGGTGCAAGAGTGTGTGTGCGTGTGTTTTGGGTGCGCCTCTTTCTCACCCACCCAGACCGCGACCGAGGGTCATGAGCCAGCTGGAAGGTCCCTTTCCCAGGATCCTATGGTAACCCTGCATCAGACAACCTGCATCTTTGCGGTGCATAGCGGGACCCCGCTGCTCAGGCGATGGCTATCAAACCACGTCTTTGTCCTTGGCCAGGATTCGCGGCGTTCCCACAGTCAGCATCAACAGAAACAACGAAAACCATTGTCTGGTCGAGGTCGACTATCGAGTATATTTATATCAAAATCAAAATCAACCGCCGAAAGTGCCAAAGAGACTCCGAGAAGTCAGAGACCCAACAATAGGGCCCAAAGGCAGAAAACGAAGGCATGGCCAGTGGATGGCTCAGGCAACGGATAGACAAAGTCAGAAATCGCTTAAGGTTATAACACATCGCAAACAATGGCCGTGCAAATGGACGGAGTGAGGATCGTAGGCCGGGAAAGGGGAAAGGGGAACGTGGAGCTGTGCTCGAGCACGGGGACAAGTGTCGCGACCACGATGAGGGTAAGAATAAACGAGAACCTGTTTCTTGTATCCCTTTCTTCGAGACAGGCTGTACCTGAGACCGACCTGTTATGGGATGGGACGGGATGGATGCCTTCCAAGCCCAATCCTAATTAGGGGAGGGGAAAACGCTCTCGGATGCTGCTGAGTCAGCAGCAATTGCTAAAAAGTAAATAAAAACGATCATTGGGACTCTCACGGAGTTGCAAGAAGATCGCGCAAGCAACGGGCAGCGGGCATCGGGCATCGATGGATCGCAGCGAACAATCAACAACAATTCCTGGTGCAGGTGCCGAAGACAAACAGCAAAAGTCACATACTCCAAAACAGACGGCGGACAATGGGCACAAAAGTCAGTGAGAAAACCTTAGCCGAAGGAGAAGAAAGAAGGAAATGGAAAGGTCCAAAGGAAAACATAAGGGACGGGCCCGGGCCCGGGCCCGGGCCCGAACGGACGCACTGCGAGTGCACATTCTCGACTATAAAATTTATTCGCATTAATCGCCGTCAGAGATAAAAAAGAATGGTCGAGGACGAGGTCGTGGAGGGGGGAGGGGGACGCAGACAGAGGTCCGACATTGGGATGATAAGGCAACATTGACACCTTCACCGGGGACTGCGGGCAGGTAGTCCCATTGGCATTGTTGGCATCTTCTGATTGCGTGAGTGCCTCGCTTCCCTCCTGTGTTCCTCCTATGCGTTTTCTGGACTAAAGAGAAAACAATTTGCAGTTCGAGTTCGAGTCTTAGTCAAGGATCTGTGCCGAGGACAGGACTGTACCCTGGACGTACACCTTGCCAGGCATCGTTTCTATTTCTGGTTTGGGCCTGTCCCAGCTCGTACTCGGCGGGGGAGTGGAGTGGGTGGAACGACGAGGATGACGGGGGCGGAAGTACCGCAAA